TAGAGAAGCAGTTTTCGCAATTATAATGCTCAGTATCGAGGATCAGAGTAGCAACAGCAGCAAAAAAGATGTGGTAAATTTTCATTTCAGCACCCGAGCGCTATTATCCCTTCAAATTTGTCCAAAATAGTCTTATCTCCGTGCAAATGTATATGCTGAACTCAAATCAACAATTAAATATTGAAGAAACCTACCTTTTTGTATGTTAACGACCAGAAAAAAATCGGACTTCTCACTCTTTTTGTCATCCTTTACCGGCTTATTGAGAAACATTCGCTGCTGAACCACTTCGCGCACTTATACAATTTTTTCTGTTTAAAGTTAACTTTCTCCGTAAAGCGATTTTTTTCTTTTTTTTTTTATTTGTACTTAATTTAAGAAGAAAGTTAACATTCAAATATAAGTGATAAGTGTAGTTTTTACTTCATTTTTTAAGAAAAAAGTTAACTTTCAAATATATGAAATATCGACAAATAAAAGAATAAGAAAGTATTTTTTTTTAAACTTCAAATATTTGAAGATATGAAAATACTTATAAATTATAAATAACAAAAAGAACAAAAAAGTAGTACAGTAAAGCATTTTTTTAATATTTAACATTGAAAATAAAACAATAATTAAATCAGTTATAAAAGAGGAAGCTAAAAGTTTCATATCTATGTAAAAAATGACATTGACAATTTTTTTTAAAATGATATAAAGGAGATACTTCACTTACAAATATACAATATAGATGTCTATAATGAAGTAGTTTTAGGGTCCTGGATACAGTCTTCTCGCCTCTCTCAGGAAAAGGTGCAGGCGCTGACTATGTTTAGTGACTGCTTTTAAGAATAAAAAACGAGCAATGTATTGTTTTAAATACGAAGTTTTGTGTCCCGATCTTTTAATTATACCCTTAGTCATCCTCCATAGTCTTTCAACCGTCTGCGTGTGGATATTTTGGTCTGTTGGATCTACAAAGTGTTCAGAATGGTTGATTTGTTTGTATGTGTACCCGTGTTCCGTTATCCGCACATACGCCGACCAGCAATCACTGTAAATGATGATCCTGGTCGGATGTGTTGCATAATCAAGGGAACAAGGGTATGGGCATTCCTGGCTTCTCCTTCCCCGCAATCAGATGTAAGTGGAATTTTATTGATAGTTTGTTTTTAATGATGTTGTAGGATTTTTCGTCTAATGTAATGGATATTATTCTTCTATTTGGTATTGATGACAAAATCATTTTCAAAATATTTACTGTCTGTTTTCAAAGCTATTAACTTTTGCTGTCTAACTCTGATATTAATATCAAGTCCTTCTTTGATTTTCGTTTCTTAGAGAAAACATACATCAATATTATAACTATCAACGCCCTGAGGCAATTATTACTGCTTTCCAGTCCTCTCACATTAAATGGTAAAATCTTTATATGAAATAAGAAGTTACCAACTTAGCGGAGTCTTTACCTTCTTTGCAAAACAATCATCATCATCATCATCAGAAGAAGAAGAAGAAGAAGAAGAAGAAGAGCTTCTGGAAGGTACACCACAAATGTTGCCTCCTTCTTCTATGTGCCTTGTCCCTTCAGGTAATTGGTGATCATGGCTCTCCACAATTTCCAGTTCTTTGTAGCGCTTGATAAATTTTGTCTTTTTGTTATCTCTTCTAAAGCTTGTGCCTCCATCCATTTACTCAAGCTCGTTATGTAGGTTATACTTATGAAAAATCTAGTTTGCTGAAACTAAGATGCTGATTGTTTAAGAAGTGATTATGCGTGAAAAATGCATTATCCCGGTGATGTGACAGGTAGGTATGGAATATTTTATCAAATACACCTCCCGAGATTAATAGTCATAGCATTATGGGTATTAATATGTAAAATAAGTTTTGAATTTAGCAGGCCAATGAACGTGCCTACCCGACCTGGTACGGGTAGGTGGATTTGCTTCTGAATCAGCTGCTGAAAATGCTTGTGTGCAAGAAGATTCTGGATGTGTTCTATGAGGAGTGGTCAAAGACTTGCCATCATGATGTATATATGCAGGCTTCCATCGGTCGATGCTGACCGTGTTATGCTTCCACGCAAGGTTTATGACAAAGTATTTTGATGTCCGAGAGATGTCCCTGTGTGGTCTTGTATAATTAGGTGTGCTCTGATTGGTGCTGGTCTTCAGGAACGTAATAAGGTTTTTGATATGCCCGTGTTGGGGTGTAAATGATGTCAGTCATTTTCTGTTTGAGGTCGCTGACAAAATGACTGGAAGGAAGATCATCGGTGATAGTGTTGAAAATTTGTCCGGGCAAAGTTAAGGGTGACTCGAAGTGCATTTCAGATCTTGTTTGACAGTGTTACGCAAAGCGAGCATAACAAAAGGCAGTTTGTCTACCCACGTGCGGCCGTTTGTAGATACTGTGAGCGCATATTTGAGTTGTCTGTGGAACCTTTCCACCAGGCCGTTGGCACAAGGGTGGTACGCCGTGGTAGAGATGTGCTTGATTCCCAATAAATTAGTAAACTCGCCGAACAGTGTGGACTGGAACTGCGGACCCCTATCGGTAGTAATTGCCGAAGGTCACCCAAAAACGGTAATCCAGTGAGTAAAAATTGCGTTAGCCACTGCTTCAGCTGTTATTGATGGGAGCGATATGGCTACTGTTCAGCGCGTGAAGCGGTCTATTATGGTGAGTATATATTCGTAGCCGTCTACACGCTCTTATGGACCGACTAAATCAGCGTGCATGTGGGTGAATCGTCCATCAGGATTGGGAAAAATTGATGGATGCGCTTTGGTGTGTCTGCCGACCTTAGTTGCTTGGCAACGTAGGCACGTGCGAGACCACTGTTTAATATCAGTTGCCATAGCGGGCCAGACGAATCTGTCCGATATTGTCCGCAACGGTGCCTTATCACCCGGGTGAGCTAGAGAATGAAACTGATCAAATATTCGACGTCGCATTGTTGGCGGTATGTACGTGGATTGCCCGAACTGACGCCACAGTATACAGACTTATCTGTAAACGGAAGTGGTCTTTTTTTCGATCTGTAAGGAAGTGTCAGATCGGACGGCTGGTAATGTTTCGTCACTCAGCTGTTCGTCTGCTAAGGAGTCAAAATTGAATGTAACAGGTTGAATAGTATTGAGGGTTGTGCGAGATAACGCATTGGCCACTGTGTTGCTGGTGCCTTTGATGTAGCGGATATCCGAGGTAAATTGCCGTATATAGACCATATAGCGATTGTCACGGGGGTTATGCTTCTCGGATTTCGCATGCAGAGCATACGTCAATGGTTTGTGATCTGTAAATATTGTGAAGTCACGTCCTTCTAGTATGATGGCTAAGTCGACTGCCAACAGCTCGCGTGAGAAGGTACTATACTTCATCTGTGCCGAGTTAATAGAAAAGAATGACAGCGGCTTCTCAATTCCGTTAATAATTTGGTGGAGGACTGCACCGACCGAGTTAGACGATGCATCAGTTGTCAGAGTCAGTTTTGCGTCATCTGAGGATGTTATATATGATAATTTGACACAATTCTGTAATGCTTGCTTAGCAACATTGAAGGAATCCATCTCATCTGCGGACAAAGTAAGTTTTGGGTTCTTGTTTCTATGCTTCGATAAGAGATTCGTTAAAGGTAAAAGTATGCTAGCGCAATTGTTGATGAATTGACGATAGCAGTTTATCATTCCTAGAAATCTTCTAAGTTGACGTAAGGTTGAAGGTGGTGGAAAATCAGTAATAGCTTTTATTTTTTAGTTCAAGGGATTTAACCCGTGGTTGTCGATTATGTGGCCAAGAAAAGTCAGGCTACGGACAGCGAATAGACATTTCACAACGTTTAACTTTAAGCCGTAATGTTGTAGGCGTTGAAAAACTGTCTGAAGATGGTCGTAATGTTCTTCATTTGTTTTGCTGGCTATCAGGACATTATCGATATAAAGGTAGGTATAGAACCGTCCTCGAAGGACTTCATCGATGAGTCTTTGGAAAGACTGAGCTGCGTTGTGCAAACCGAAGGGCATTCTGGTAAACTCATATAGACCAAAGGGAGTTGCTATTGCTGTCTTTGGGATGTCGGATTGCTCGATCGGAATTTGATAAATTTCCGCAGGTCCAATTTTGTGAAAACCGTGACGCCTTCCAGCGATAGGGCAAAATCTTTGATGTGGGAGATTGGGTATTTGTCCGGGATAGTTTGGGCATTTAATAGCCTATAATCCCCGCACGGACGCCAGTTGTGAGCATCGGCCTTTGGGACCATGTGGAGCGGTGTAGCGTAAGGACTAGAGGATTGTATGATTATGCCCAGTTTAAGCATATTTTCAAACTTGTCCTTAGCTACCCGGAGTTTGTTAGGGTGTAGACGACGTGGTTGGGCATGTACCGGGGGTTGGTCCAGTCGTTTTTATGGCATGAGTGGCATTATGCCTGATAGGCTCTGCATATGTAAATGGTGATAATAATAACTTGTATTTTTGCAATAAGTTCTCATAGCCATTTGCCTTGGGTATCACAGCTGTTAGACCAATTGTAGAGTTGCCTTGATGTTAATCTGCGGCGCTGCGGATTCGTACGCGCGTCGGTAAGCGTACGCGAAGATAAGTCGACGGATAAATCAAAGTGTGCCAAAAAATCTGCGCTTAGGATTGGCATTGCAACATCGGCGATTTTCACAATCCAGATGAATTCCCTTCGTAGGCCAATGTTGAGGGACATGACTCGCTCGCCATAGGTGTTATTAATTGACGTGCCATTAGCGGCCTACAATTTTAATGAAGCTTCCTGAGATGATATTGTCGATCTGTCACAATTTGCGCACCGATGTAGACCAAAAGATTAAGCTTGCTGTTACAGTCACAAATGTAAAACAGGCGATTTTTATTGTCAGCCCTGGCAGCCAATGTCTCTAATGGTTGCCAAGCTGGCCGTTTCCCTGTAAGTCTGTTGGGAACGTGTTTCGGAAGGCACATGGCGTACAATTTCAGGTTGTAATTTATCCAGCCACATCTGTCTCAAGACAGTGTCAGACGCAGCACATACCCATTGACATTCTCCAGGAGATATGAGCGATGACCATCTGCCTGGGATACTAAAGTCGCTGGGTCCCAGCTTCCAGACATAGGGTTTTGTACCTTTACCCTTTGGCCACGGTACAGGGGTGGTAGTTCCTCCTTGAGTGCATTTCGGTCAAAGTACCTCTTTTGGTTTTGTTGACGTTGTTGGATCGCGCTATATATCTGATCCTGATCTTGGTGATCGTTTCTGATTTTGGTTATCAGTGGAGATTGGATTCGTCTACCCATGAGTAGTTGTGCAGGACTTGGTATGACGCTTGAAATTGGAGTACAGCGCCAGTGCAACAGCACAATTTCAGGCGTTGTTCCCGACTGCTTGGCTTTCTTGAGGATGGCCTTGACAGTTCTTATCTGACGCTCTATGAAGCCATTTCCCTGTGGTCTCTGAGGTGAAGTGGTCTCATGTTGGAAACCCCATTCTTTGGCGAATTCACGGTAGAGGTGACTTGAAAAGTGTTGTACATTATCACTGACTACCTTTGATGGTATGCCAAACTCTGCAAAGATTTGGCGTGTGATGTTCACTATAACACCGCTTGGTGAACGAGAAGATATGTGTTTGACTACAGGGTACTTAGAGTAATAGTCGGCTATGATCAACCATTGACTTCCATGGAGATCAAACAGGTCTGTGCCAACTATGTCCCATGGCTTTGTTGGGATGTCATGTTGCATAAGGGGCTCTTGCATTTGGGATGGCTGATGCTGTTGGCAGATGCTGCATGACTTTGTGAACTGCTCGATGTCTCTGTTTATGTTTACCCAGTAGACAGTGTCTTTGGCGAGGAGTTTTGTTTTCTTCTGTACTAAGTGAGCGGTATGAAGCTGTTTTAGGATGTCTTCTTGAAGTGTCTGGGGAATGACGATTTGTTGTCCTTTGAGGATAAGACCACCATCAAATGAGAGCTGGTCTCTTACACCCCAGAACATTCTGATATCAGTGGGAAGCTGCTTGATTGTCTCTGGCTATCCTGTGATGATTGTATCTCTCAGCTGGTTAAGCAAATGGTCCGCTGTTGTACAGTTTTCTCAGTTGTTCAAAGCAATCAGTGGAGAAACGGACAGTATCAACCCGGACATCAAGCTCAATAGGGTCTAAATTACCGAGTGATGGTAGGCGTGATAGCCCATCAGCCAAGATGATTTCAGATCCCTTGTTATAGGTGAGCTTGAAGTTGTAGCCCTGGAGTTATAGCATTCGTTGTAGGCGTGCCGGGGCTGAGGTGAGCGGTTTGTCGATAATCATTGTAATGGGTTTATGGTCGGTGACGACTTGGAAATTGTGGCCATAAATGTATGTGTGGAATCTCTATGTGCCAAATACGATGGCCAGTAGCTCACGCTCGATACATGCGTATCTTTGTTCCGTTTGTGTTAAGCTCTTGCAAGCATACGCGAAAGGTGATAGATTGCCAGCTGAATCCGGTTGTAGCAGAGCTGCACCTAATACATGTATACTCGCGTCACCGTGCATGTAAATTGGAAGTTTGGGGTCAAAATAGTGAAGCAAGGACGTTTCAGATACTTCACTCTTTAGGTCTTTGAAAACTTTCTGGTGATGTGGTTCCCATTGAAAATCAGAGTCCTTGTGTAACAGGTCACGCAACACGGCAGTTTGGAGCTGAAGTCTTGATGAAGCGAGATACACCCAAGAACTGTTGCAATTCTGTTTTGTTACGTGGTTCTGATATCTCTGTAGGTCACATACTTTTGCTGGGTCAGGTTTCAACTTGGTATGTGTATACAGGTTTCCAAAGAAGGAGATTTTCCGGCGTTTAATCTTGCATTTCTCCGAGTTCAGGGTAAGGCCCTCTTGAGTAGCGACCTCCATAAAATGTTTTAGGTTTCCATTGTGTTCATGTTCTGTTGACCCATATATGGTGATATCGTCAGCTATACCACAGGCTCCAGTGCACTTCTCGAGTATCCTGTCCATCTCAAGTTGGTAAATATCCTGACGTACACTCAGACCAAATGAAAGTCGTTCAAAACAGTACCTTCCAAATGGAGTTTGGAAAGTTGTTAGTGGCTGGCTTTCACGATCGAGCTTTATGGACCAGTATCAGACTTAGCATCCAACTTTGAAAATTTTGCTCCTGAAAATCGATGGTTGAGCTCTTCGACAGTCGGAATTTGGTGGTATGGCCGTATGAGAGCTTTGTTTAGTGCTCGTGGGTCTAGGCAGATTCTTATTGTGCTGTCACGTTTGGTGACATATGTAAGAGAGCTTACTTAATACGGCGAATGACTCCTTGTGATTCCATCTTGTCGAACTCAGCTTTGATTTTTTTCGCGCATGCCTATAGGTGTCCTTCTCGGTGGATCTATGTGGCATGGCACATTGGGGTTAACAATGAGTCCTCCGGAATTCACCAATACGGTCGAATCTGTCAGGGTAGAGGCGCATTAGGTCAGCTACATTGTTGGTGGGTTGTTGTTGGACTGATATAGCACAGTTCATTGTCACTACTTTAAGTGCTACTGATGTTGGCAGGCCCAATATGGCTGCTCCTGGAACATCAACCACGTAGAATTGGGTATCCAGCCATGGAGAGTTCTTGTATTTGCACCTAATATTTGTGGTGCCATAACAGTTTATCTTTATGTTGTATGTTGTTAGTAAGCATTGTGTTGAGGTGAGTGATCCGGGTATTGGATTTCCAGCTTTGTCTATACTGGTGTGGTACGTCTTGCGGAATATGCGGATAGGCAGTGTGCTTGCTTGTACCCCAGTATCTACCTTCAGATTGAAAGTATGAGTGCATGGATGGTCCATCAACTTAATGTTTAAATCAACAAACGCCTCATTTCGAGGGCCTTTCATATTTGGTGATTTTCCACTGTTGGTTTCGATGGAGCTAAAGGTGAGGTCTTCCATGTCGACCATGACTTGGTCGTTATGTCTGGCGACGCTGTTGACTTACCTGCTAAACTCCTATTGTGGGAGTCTCGACTGGTTACGACCGTTAGACCAGGGTTTCCCTTGTCGTCTCTTGGTCTTGTGTTTCCCTGAGATGCAGACTGTAGCCCAATAGCATACTTTTTGCAAACCTGTCCGTATTTTCTATCATTCCCTTGCCGTTGGTGTGTACCACGGTTTATTGTGACTATCTGTGGTAATCCCTGTAGCTGGTGGAGTTGGCTGATATATACTGCTGATGTTTCATGTGAACGGGCTAATTTAACAGCCTCTTCAATTTTGTAACACTTTGGTTTGTTCAACAGTTCCTTTTGTATTTCGGGTATGGACTTGCTGGCAATTAGTAACTCAACGAGGCGTTCGTTTACTTCGTGGGAAGTGAAGTGAAGATGTCCGTTGTTTCTGTTGGCTTTTGTTGGTATTTGCAGACGCGGTGGTTGGTTGCCGGTTCGAGCTGCTCCATGAAGGCAGAGAATATTTTTTGTGGGTCCTTGTAGTTGTCGTCTGTCATCGACCAACTGTTGTATCGGCTGCGAGGAGAATTAGCGGCACATTGTCTTCATGTTTTGTTGCCTTGACGTGAAGTAGAGTTCCATACGCTGTCAAAATAGTTTGAATGACTCGGCGATGTTTGGCGAGCCCCAGTCAATACTAGGTACTTGTATTGACACTGTAGCCATAATATCTGCCTGTTAGTAGCGGTTATGTTGTGAACCCGGCGTGTGTGTTTGTACATATAAAAAGCAGATTGACGTTTCGGGAATCCGGAACGAAGTAGTAGACAATATCATTACAATAATTGGACCATGCCGTGAGTTTGCTAAAAATAGTGGAGTAAAATAGATCTTCAAAGTGGAGAAGATCTTGCGTTGTTTGATTATTAAAGCATTATTAATAGATAAAGAGAGAGAGAGAGAGAGAGAGAGAGAGAGAGAGCTTGGAATAAATCACTTCTCACACGTCTCATATTAAATGTCATTTGCAATGAACCTAAAACTAATCTTAATTCATTACCTATTATAAAACAAAAATTTGATTTGTACTTGGAATCTGCCATCTATTTTTTACAATGTTCTAAAGCCAGAAATAAAAAAAATGTAAATTCGTACTTGTATTTTTGCCAGAATTCATAAAAGGTTTTCACATTAGGAAAAGATGTACATTAACTCTCACATTTCTCGTTCCCATCACTATTTAAACTTTAGTCTGGCAGTGGGTCAAAATGGTGATAAGGATCACACTGACAAGCAATAATCATATTAGTTTTGTAGCCTTTGTGCTCTCTGCTCGACACTGGGTTGTATTTTTTAGTTTTGGTTTTTAGCGATGACGATGATGTTGATGACACTGATGGTGAGTTAACATTAGTTTTTATTTTGCAACTCGCAAGAGACACACAAGTTTAAATAATCGTAAATTTTCACACCAACAGTGCTTTTTTCATCAGCAACATCTACTTCGCTGAGGACGTTAAATACTGTGACATTTACAAGAATGACTGAAACTCGTCTATGACAACAGCAACAACAGCTAATCATTAATCAGTCGTCACGTGAACTCCTCTTTGTCCACAACTTACCACCTGCAACTTTGAAATTCACCCGCTCTATAAATGAATGAGCATATTTGAAAGATTCAGAAGCAAGCAAAGTGAAATTAAAATGACTGTTAACAGTGATGATCGGGTTCGATACTTGGTAGAGTCACGGCTGAGAAAAATTGTGTTGAGACGAGAAAAGTCTTCTGCAATTGAAGTAGAAATATTATCAACACCTGTGCTATTTACAGTAATAGCGCGGCTAATTTTGTACGTATGGAGTAAGGCTGGGGTTAGTAATTTTTATTTTTATATTATTGTTCTCTTCATTCTAGATATATACGAAAGATTTTAATTTTTTACAAGCTTTCGTCTGTTCCTACAGACATCATCAGGTATGGAAGTAGATTTTGTTCTTGTTTGTACTTCTCAGTAATAAGAGGACAACGAAAATAGAGATGCAATCAGAAAAAAAATGCTATGAGAAATGTGTTATTGTTTTGGAACGTGCGGTCGCAACGCTGAGTTTGAATTTAAATTTTAAGGTTGTGCGTTTTTGTACAAATATAGCAATAAGAGAATTCTTTTTTACTGGTAGATTTTCCGTGAATATGGCATGAACTATATTGTTCAATAATTACAGTAATGTCACACTTATTATCCGAGAGTTGCACGTTGGATCAGTTATTTTATTTTTTCGGATTGCATCTCTATTTTCGTTGTCCTTTTATTACTGAGAAGTAAAAACAAGAACAAAATCTATTTCCATACCTGAGGATGTCTGTAGGAACAGACGAAAGCTTGTAAAAAATTAAAAAGATCTTATGCAACTGGAATTTATAAACGGGGATCATATCATTCATATACAGGTTCGGGGTTGATGTATCTTATTTATGTGTTTGCGACGATATATTCTCGCCATTTAAATCATTAACCTCTATATTTGTTATTTGTATGAATGATTCATGAATTTATATATATATATATATATATATATATATATATATATATATATATATATATATATATATATATATATATATTTTATGAGAAAGGTATGAATCCTCTTCTTCTCTCTCCAGCTATGAGTAATTAGCAGGAAAGACTAGGTTCTATAGCCTTGGATGGCAACTAGTCTAGGAGCTCTGAATTCAAAACGTGTGGAAAGTTGTTTTGTGACTTTGTGGCACGTAAATACCCAGGTCTCTTATATTCAGCACTTCAAAAAGTGTGGTTGCTTCAGCACAAAACCTTTATCACGATAATCAAATAATATGTGCTGGTGTCTGGCTGTCAATTCCTAGGAACTGAGTTATAGACCCTCTTACGTTGAATGCGACGGGAGAGTCTACGATATATATATATATATATATATATATATATATATATATATATATATATATATATATGAAAAAATGTATATAAAAACATATAACAGAATATCAGCGGGGAAATGAATGACTAGACAGAAAA